TATTTCTCAAATCTCCAAATTAAGCCCCTTTCCTATGATATAACATACTAGTCAATTTTAAAGAATATTTATGTTTAAAAAATAATCAACTGATTTGCCACGCTTACTTTGACAGATAGAAATGTAAACATTGGCCTAAAGCTGGGATGCAAAGCCATTATCTATTTTATTTATTCCCACGATATTAACTGTAGAATAACTGCAAGTGTAACTGTTAGGGTGGTTTACCTTTTTGGCGCTTTTCGAACACGTTTTGATTGAGCATTTGTCGTTTATCGATACTTAAAATTTCTGAAATTTTGAAATGCCAAGATTGCAAAAAGTTTTCAAGAAACGCAAAGGTAAGTATTATCCACGTTAGAATACTATTAATAGCAAAGTAAGTACCACTGATTGTAAATTAAATGCTCAAAGCTGAACATGCACATGATTCAAAGCAGTCATGTGCAAAAGAAAAAGAAAATTCCAGATTTAAATGAGTTTTCTTCTTTGGTGATAGCGTAGGTATTTTAAATGCAATCATGAATTTGAATATTCTTGCTTTTGTTTTCAAGAATGAAGTTCACTGTAAAATGTGCAGCAGTGGTTTAGACATGCAAGTTTTAAGGTAAGTCTGGACTGGCTAAAATGTTTTTTTTGTCCATATCGTGTAGAATTCTCTTCTTCAAATTTTTAGGTTTGTGTAGCTATGCGTTCAATTGGAAAAGGTGCAGAAGCAGGGAGAATGTTCTGCTGCGTAATGAATCTTAAAGGTTTTCTGCTTAGAATTTTAAATGCTGCTAAACTTGTTTATGAAAAGATTCAATTCAAAATGCTGCGAAGGAAGCTATTTGTGAAAAAAAGTAGCTGTAGATCAGAAGCGTGGTTACACATCCTTGAATGGTGTAGTTACTGTGACCAGCATTGATACAGGTAAGGTGATAGATGTTGATATTCTTTTTCGAAATATTGCGCTTGTAAAAACTTGCCTTTTCATGAAAAGGATTGTGAACTACGTTGGATCTAGTGGAGCGATGGAAAAAGGTGCGTCTAAAATTTTTCAACGGTCATTATCTTTACATAATGCCCGATATATTACGTAGAGAAGGGGGTTGCAAAGCATTTGATGCGGTGTAAGGAAAACATTTATGTAAGAATATCAATTGAAAATTGGAGTGTATTGGCCATGTAATGAAGCGCATGGGAACAAGATTACGCCGATTAAAAACTCAATTGAAAGGGCAAATCTTGTCAGACGGTAAGTGTTTAAGTGGGAAAAATCGTTTGACTGAACATGAAATTGATAACTTGCAGTCATACTATGGATCAGCTATTGGAGAAATCACAGCAGTGTTCAGAATATGCGGCAAGCTATCTGGGCCATTTCTGCATAAGTTATCAACTGATGAATATCCTCAACATGGTTTTTGTCCCATCGGGGAAGATTCATGGGTGTGGATTTAAAAGGCTGAAGCATCAGGTAAGTCTTACAAACATAAAAACAGTCTTCCGGTCGCTGTTGTTGAAGCAAAGCGTCCTATATTTAGAGATCTTTCCCATCCTGACCTGTTGAAAAAATGTTTGCATGGAAAAACACAAAGCCCGAATGAAAGTTTTCATTCGTTTGGTCACGTGTTCCTAAAGCAACATTTGTACAGATTGAAACACTTTCACTTGGTGTTTATGATGCTGTTTGTTCCTTTAATGATGGTAATGTATCGAAATTAAAATGCTTCAAAAAATGGGCGTAGAACCAGGGGAATTTTCAGTAAGTGCCATGAAATTTCTCGATAGGGAAAGACTAATGAAAGCAATTTATGCTTTTTCTGAACGCTCGAAGAAAATTAGAAAAGATAAAAGAAGAAAAAAGAAAAAGAAGAAGATAATATTAAGAAAAATAAGGTAAAAACCGGCTACAGTGCAGGATCTTTTTGATGAGGTAAAAATTTATACAAAAGCTTGTGTTTTCTAATTAATATATTTTTCAAGTAGTCTGTTCTTTTTTCTTTAAATTTATGCATGAATTGGAGACTTTTACTATATATTTCATATATATTGTTGTGTGTTCTTATTCTTTATGCAAAATTTTTTTAAATATTTCTTTGTCATTTTCACTAATGAACATATGTCGTAACACAGAAAATGACTATTTTTATTAAATTGTGTATTCTTTTTTTTTTCTATAAATCTACCGTATGCATGAATTGGAAATTTTTACTATATTTTTCATATGTATTGTGTGTTTTTATTCTTTATAAAATTTTAAAAATATTTCTTAGACATTTTCACTAATGAACATATGTTGACACAGAAAATGACAATTTTAATAAATTGTGTATTCCTTTTTCTATACTTCTACTGTATGCATGAACTGGAAATGTTTACTATATATTTCATATGTATTGTGTATTTATACAAATTTTAAGCTTTGGTGTTCAATAGTTTTTTAGTAAAATGTTTATAAATATCTAAAAATGCAACACATAGCTTGTTACATATATAAAAATACATTAATTTCATGTTCAAGAAATCTGTTTTTATGTTTTTGTTGTTTTGAATACCATTTACCAAATATTTAAAGAAAATTTTTAATTCTGCTGCTGTGAAACATTGTGTTAACAGGTGAATATATAAACACTAATGAAACTTTTCGAAATAGTGTATAAATGTATTACCAAAGCCATATTTTCATGTATTGACACATTTTCACATGGTATTTATGATGCTTTATAGTAAATAATAACTGAAAATTCCTCAAAAATTGATACAGAATTTGAGTAAAATAATTAAACGCTAAAAAATACCTCGATAGCTTAAAAGTGAAAATGCTATAAATGTATTTTCTGAGAAATCTAAGTATAAGAAAAACTAAAAAGCCTTAAAAGTAATAGAGAATAAGCTAATATTTAATAAAAATAGGGCAAATACTTGTTGTAATTCATTATTTTTGTGATCAAGTGCTTTTTTACACTAAAAATGCAATTATCTCAAAATGGCTGTTTTTCAAACCGTGGGGACAGTTTTCTCAGAATCTACAGAACGAGTGCTCATGCAAACATAAATAATATGTAACTCTATATACTAAGCTTATTTTTTGGAGATTTTCCTGAAATATTTTGCTGAAAAGCAGTTATCGTAAAAATTTGACAGTTTTCAAAAATTTCAAAGTGATACTTTTACGATTGTAAACAATATATTTTAAATATATTTACCAGTATTTAAATAAAAAAAAGCCTAATTAAGTTTATATATTTAACAGTTTCTGAGAAACTTGTACCTAAAATGGCTCAATTTAACATTGTCGGTATAGGCCCTACCGACTTCCCTTAAGTTTGTATGGTGTGGTAGTTAAAAGAAGGGTTGCCAGCTCAGGTGTCTTCCTCGTCACTTGACCATGGTTCAAAATTTCGAGGTCCTTCACCAAACGTTGTTGCATAGCTGAGCAGTGCGACGTTAAAATTCATCCATTCATTGAGTGAGATAAATATTTATAATAAGGATAAGACTTTTAGATCAACCCCTATATATTGTGCTTATATCTCCTGAAAAAATGTAAATAGTTTGGAAAAATAATGTTTGAACCATATAAAAAAGGAACAAAGCAATACATAAAATGAATCTTAAAAAATAAAAATTCGTTGTTAGAGTATTATAATAAAAAATTCACTTAAAGGTGATGTATTCAATATAAGTTATGAAAAAAATGTTAGCATTAAATGCTTGCTACAAAAATACACAGCTAAAATAAACTAATATTTCAAATAAGTAAAACATTTTTAACATTTTCACTTTTTGAATTAAAACTCTATATTTAGCTGTTTGCAAGAACACGGCCGAATACAGAATTAGTTATAGTGTTTTGAAATTTACTTAAATGCTTTTATCAAAGAATAAGACAAAGATAAAATATTCTCAAACATGTTTCTGTTGTAAAAAAGTTATTATCTTACAGATAATATATAAGATAAATTATTAGAGAGAGAGTGTATTATATTTTACCAATTGTCTATTTTAATTTGCAAATCAAATATACGTTATTTATTTTCAGAAATATTATGGTGTGTAATTGTTTGATCCACGTTCGGATTTGATGCATTTTGATGAATTTTGCATTCGTCATCGAAACACATAAGCTGTTTATAAATATAAATAAAACTCCTTCTTTTCGAGTGGTCAATAAAGTAACATCAATCACAGAAGTTAAACTTTCAAAAAACTAAATTAATTTCATAAAGTACTACCAGTATCACGAAAGTTAAAAGTTAACAAAATGTAAAAAAAGGCGTGTGTGTACTTATGTACACACGTAAGAAGTTATACTTCTTTGGCGTAACAAGATTAAAATATTTCTAAAAATCTTGAGCCGGGCAAACTGAGCCAAGGACGAAAGGCGGTCAGGAGCATAGATGAACGATACTAACCTTCAGTCAATCGGACCAGCCGAACCCGAGATAATCACGATTTTAATAAATTTAAACACCCCCGCACAGGGACAATAGGACCAATAACGTAGGAGGTTTTCGGCAGAATATATCTGGAGATGAGTTGAACCGAATGTGACACCTGAGAACTCATATTAAATGTTTCGGCTGGAAAAATCATTCCTAAGAAAATTAAGACATCCGCCAGAAGAGCCCCCGAGTTATGGTCATTTTAAAGTTATTAAAACATTTAAAACAATTAAATATTAAATAGAAGCATCGCACCCAGCAACTCGGAACTTAGCCTGGTTGTGAGGAAACCCAAGAGGAATCCATTCGAACCGGTCCGGTTGATTGATTGTTTGATTTTATGGCACAAGAGCCAGATTTGGCTAAAATGCGCCAAACAATGTTTTAAAAAATATTACAATTCTGAAAATTGATTCTAATAAAATACGTAGCTTGATTAAGTCATACTATGCTCAATAAGCTTCAAAAAGTTTCAATTAATGGGAAGAAAAATTATAGAAAGTTTTATAAAAATAATGTAAAAGTTTTCATTAGTTTCATAAAGCGAATAAAGTAATTCTTTTATTAAAAGATCAGCTCAGTGGTAGAGAGTTTGACTGCGGATCGAGAGGTCCCCGGTTCAAACCCGGGTACCCCCTTCTTCAGCGAAGTGAAGAGAAATAAATTTTTTTTTCAGAATTTCGAAGGCGGGATTAATCTGTTCCGTTCTGTATATTTCTAGGCAAAGCATTTTCGTATCCCTTTACAGAACCGAAAGCAAATGTTCCCTGACACGGGATGTGTAGCTCAGTGGTAGAGCATTCGACTGCAGATAGAGAGGTCCCCGGTTCAAACATGGGTACCCCTTTCTTCAGGGAAGTGAAGAGAAATATATAGTTTTCTGAGGATTTTGAAAGCGGGAATACTCTGTCCCGTTCTGTATATTTCTAGACAAAGAATTTTCACATCCGTGACGGTGTGCGCGCACATCGTAAAGATGTACCCTCATCCTTCTTCCCTAACGCTCAAAAAGAAGTATATAACTTCAAAAAATACCAAATGCATGTAACAAAATTATAATATGCAGAATTTTCTCAAAATTCACTTGAATTCCAATATATGTTTTGAAGAAATTAAAATCTCCTTTAAATGGGGTACATTAAATCTTACAATTTTGGGAAGCATATATTTGGAGTTAATTTATGATGTCCCTGCCTGATACGAATAAATAATTAAACTGTCAAATAATATATATAAGGATTAAAAATAATAATTATATTGTATATATAAACAAAGAAAAAACTACTACAGTTAACAAAATAAAGTATTAACTTTTATCGGGCCGTATTCGCGTCGTTCACAAATCCTCCTGGGAAAATTCTTTCGATCACGTTGTATGATTATAAAATCGCTTTATGTGGAGAAACCATGTTTTTTACTAATGTGAGTTGCTATTTAAAGTGAAGTGATGAGAGAGAGAGAGTTCGTCGATCGTTGTCAGACCGATACCGAAGTTAGAGTGGTAGATATTTAATATATAATTGAAGTATATATAATGAAATGCGCTACGTTTAATAGTACAAGATTTTTTGCCAATTCAGGAGTTGAATCTTGTAAATAAAGATAAGCAATTTATAGTAATTATTATTGATATTTAAGCTGGTAATTAAATTGGCAACTTTATTCATTCAAATAACCTCTTGTTAGTAATTTTATAGTCTAATAAATATGGTGATTTTCTTAAAATGTCTTTTGAATCTGCGCATTGAAATTTACCAGCGACTGACGGGGCGCAAAAAACTTTCTTTTTCATGTTCGGTCAAACATAATTTAAGAAATTAACAAAATAAGCTCAAATTGTTTATTGGGATGTTGCTTTTATGGGTTTAAATTTAAATATGTATATATGCGGATTTTTTAAAAGGCAAAATATCCTAAACATTTCTTTTAACATAAGTTATCATTTGGAATAAACTTATAGTTTGTAACAGCTGCGTAACATCCATAACCTATGACCAACATAGCGCTGAATTTTATGTGCCAAAAAACCTTGTTCACTTTGGTAAAGCACCTTGCATAATTCATGCTGTTGCATCCGTGTTTATTGCATTATGACCTCACAAAGAATAGACAAGCATCAATACTATCTTCGGCACATATATCTAGTCTCCATTGCCTCAAAGGAAATGTTATTGAATCAAAAGCATTAGTGAAAGACAAACATAGCTGAGCAGCACTTGTTTCGAAAGAATATATGCTTTAATTAAAGTATTATAACTTTGAGAAAGGTAATAAATTAATATTAATTGTTTGCGTTTAGAGAAGAAGTATACGTTGTAAGAACTACAAATTGTGCTGTTCCCTTGATTTTTTTTAAAATTATTATTTTTATTTCATGCAAGTCAAAAGATATGTTATAAGCGTCTAAAATTCTTGTATATAAAGAATTACAGATTTAGTATTATAATTAAAGTGAAGGTGAATTTTTTCTGTACACAATTCTGACTTCAAGACCTTCTATACATGTGGATGATATGATTAGTGTTCCCATGTTTATATGTGACAAAACTGTAATAGAAAGTTAAAAACAATTGCTTAACTTTTAATATAAGAACATTTCATTGCTTTAAATGGAAATCTTTATAAGCAAGTTAAAGGCTTATAAAGGTGGTCCTATCAGCAACTGCTTCACCAACTCTTACTTACCTTTCTTCCTATTTTGAAATAGGAAGAATTGTATTAATTTTTGTATTAATAATGAATCTTTTTCTGCATTTTATAGATGATTTTCTAATTTAAGCTAAAACTAGGGAGTTTAAACCAAGTATTACACTGATTGCTCTTAAACTTATTACATACTAGCTATACTTGAAAACTAGAGTTCTGAGTTATATTCACAAATAATTGATTACTAAGTATTTAGTAATATTTATGATAAGATAGATGCATTTAAATGCCGCATAACTAAAATACTTATTTTAAATAGCAACTTAGAAACATTTGTTAATAGAAATATTACATGAAATGTTTACTTCGAAAGAATATTTTAACTACTCACAAAATATAGACTGAGTGAACAATACAATGAAATTCTTCTATAATTGTTTAAATCATGATTATCTAATGTGTTTTTTAAAACATATATGCGTTAGAAATACATTGATTGTCTCATAAAACTTGATTTCAAATCCAACATACAACAATAAGATCATATAGTAAGCTTGTCAGTAGTCTTGCAATAAAGATTAGCATTACTTCGCTCAGAGTGTACACTTTCTGACACACATTCTTGATTATGTTACGCAACTATCCAATAACTATTCAGATACCATTAGCTCTTAGACTACATAATCACTAGGTGATGGAAAAATTTATATTTTCATGATTTAAGATCTACCTTTTGATCAGTCAATAGTAGATTTACACTCATTTCATGATTGTCTTTCCTTTGAGGTCTTTGTAACTTTAAATTATTACATTACATCTGCAATGCTTTGATATTTGTTAAATTTAAATCCATTTAAATTCTCTTTCATTTATTTGGAAGTTTTTTCCTAGAACATTCTTTATTTTTGAACATTTCTATAATAATCTTTGAGCCGCAAATGAAGGTTTGATACCATCGAACTAGTTTAACTCCTCATAATAGGCTCTCATTTCGAAATTCCTTTTTGACTCCACCATTTATCTACCGACGGTACTTATAAGTCCCATTCACTTTAAAATTACACAGAATAAACATTTTTATGAATATTCTGATCATACTTAGTAGAAATATTATTTTAAACCTACTCTTCCAAGATATATGGCATCATGGGTTCTATGATGACTATTTTTGGACGAAAGGATAGTTTTATAGCAGAAATTACGTTTTCAACAGACGGTGTTTTCAGCGAATTGGATTTTTGTTCCAAAAAAGTAGTTAATGTCAAAAGGTAAGTGTCTTATATTTTTGTATGTTAATGAAGACCTTAGAAGACGATTTGACTATTTATTTTGAAGTGACTGCCTACCTTCGGATCCAATTTTTTTATAAAAACAAATTTTTGAAACAAATTCAGTGTTTTTAGGAAGAAAAATAAAAAAATAAATATGTAAATACATAAAAAAAATTTAAACAAATATTGTACTTTTAGAAAAATTGGTTGATTTCAAGGAATTTTTACCAATTTTTTACTAAAACGAATAACACTATAAAAATTTCAAATACAATTATCTTAATTTTCTTTATACACAACATACGTATTATGGTGCTCTTTAAAATGAACCAAAATCTAAGAGAAATATTAAAATACAGAAAAATTACAGACAACTATACATAATATAATGAAAATTTGATACTTTTTAAGTTTTACTTTATAAAAACAACCCTAAATATAAAAAAAATATTTAACCTATAACAAAGCTTATGGTTCACTTTTGAAAAAATAATATAATAAACATTCTTACTAAATTTCACAACTTAATCAGGTTTGGTTCTCATAATATCATGTATTCGGTAAAGTGTTTCTTTCGAAAACATAATTTTGAGGAAAACTCATTCAAAGTTTTATCTTACTGCTCATTTACAAAGAGAGTGATGTTTTTTTTTAAAATCACTATAACTTTATTTCTATTTCACGTAAAGGAAAAAAGAAAAACGGTTTTGGAAAAGAAAAATGATCAAGATTTTGAAATAAAAAAATGCCTTATGTGGACGAAAAACGACATTTTTAAGGTAGACAGTCACCTTAAGCGAACAGTGTATAAAATTAATTGCACAGTTGAATATCTTTAATTAATTTATTAGCTCTAACGGATTAAATTTCCCAAAGTTGAGTATTTTTTTATTTATATTCCTTAATTTTCAATGCAGTGATTAAAAAAATACATTGCGTAGAAAAACCTATGGTAAATCATAATGCCGTAGATAAAGGGTTAAGCTTCTATCCAATTTCCTATTATTTATTTATATTTAATTTTGTTTATTCTGACTTTTCTGCTTCAATTCATATTAGTTTTTGTATAATATTGAGGAATTGGTAAAATAACTAATTATATTTCTTCTATCTTTCTTTTGATCTGTTGATGGATACAGCAACTGTATGCGTGCATGTATGTGTGTGTCGTATCCTTTGAAGGTAATTAAAAATTCTTGAAATGTTTACAAAAGGTGGTCTCATGCGTTGTGATAGATTTTGCAATCAGTAATTTAGTTTCATGTACATAGTTTGCATCAAATGAATACAGAGCATTAATCACGCTTAAAAGAATAAAAAATCAAATGTATTATTTTATAATCTTAAAGTGTATATAAATCTGAGTTATATCTTTATTCCCCAAAATGGAAACAGCAAGTACTTGTATGCAGTAAAATAAAGATAATGAAACACAGGGATCATCCAGAAAATAAAAACTGTCTATAAAAATAATAAAAAACACAATATTTATTCGAAGAAAAACAATTTTTTTACACCCCTTGAAGTTTCCTTCACTTCTCTAAAAAATAATTACCTATATTTAAATGACTGTAATACTTATTAACGAGCTTTAACCCTTTATCGACCGACGATACTTATAAGTACCACTCTCTTTAAAATTACGTAGAATAACCATTTGTACAATTATTCTGACATTTAGCAGGGATATTCTTTAAATTCTACTCTTCCAAGATATA